GGGTCAGTTTACTATAAGTTTTGTCTTTTGGGAAGGTGGTAGATCAGGAGATGTGTGTTCTACTGGGAGGTGCTCAGGTTACTGGAAATGTGGCTTACTATGGATACTGGTTTTTGCTGGATTTGCTCTGTTCTGTGCTCCACCAACCCTAGCCAGATCTCAAAGCCAAAGGGCTGCCAATCTTGGATGGAACTTCAGGACTATGAGTCCAAAACAAACCATTTTCTTTATTAGTTAATGGTCTGAGGTATTTTGTTATAGGAATAGAAAACTGACCAGTGCCAGGGAATGGGTGCACACCTTTCTGCACTAGTAATGCCTAATTTACAGGTTATATCATGCAGCTAAGATTCATTCTATCTCAGTTACATTAGTTAGGTAGTTCTGCTCTGCCTCATTCTACTTACAGGACCATAAACTGTCTACATGCAACATAATTCTCATTTGGTTTTGGATGGTTACTATAACTATAACATCTGGTATATGGAAATCTATTGATAGATATATATTTATATGTCTTTATTAATCAATCTACTTATTGTTGTCTTGTTTGAATCTTAGTCTCACATTGATCTAGAACATTCTATGGCAGATATATTCTCAAGTACTTGTAATCATGAGTTTATTATATGCGTTTTATTTTACTTAGAAGTCTGATCGTAATTTTAATATGTTGTGACAAGGTCACACTTGTCAAATCCAACTAGGTTTTACAGTCCATTTTGGCCCCCTAAATTCTTTTGCTTTTAGTGCCTTTTTCTCAAGCTGCTTTAACCTAGCTGTGCATGATTTGTAGTCAAGTGTGTTGAGTTTCTCTACAGTTTTGTCAGTTTCTGTCCTTGGTCTGTTTTATATTCTGAGGCTATAAAACTTCTAAATGGGGTTTGGCTGGGGAATTCACATTGAATATAATTTCAGGTGTGGTTGGTTATATCCTGGCATTTAGTTGTTTTGTTACTGTGTCATTAGGTTTTGTTTCCTAAATATGTCTCAGCTAGCTGTTATACAGTGCTAGAGCTTCTGAAGGGAAGCCATACACACTCTCCCTGTGGGGAATAGGTGGGGGTGGGTCACTGTTAAGGCTGGGTAAGAAGAGCCTGCTTCCTCACCACTCTTGCTGAGGGTGAGTCAAAAGATGAACCTTACTCAGAAAATCCTTGCAAGCCTCTGCTTACTTCACACTTAGTTGAGTCTCTTTTAGCACAGAGGGTCCTGTAGCCTTAACCGAGGCAGGGTAGAGAGCCACAGAGCAGCCTTCATTGGTAGAGTCTGGTGAGGACAGCAGAGGGCATGATGGTGGCTGCAGCTAGTACTTGAGAGGGTTGCCACCCAAACTGCTCTTTGGTTGTTTGCTTTGTTTGCTTTGGATCCCAGTGTCAGTCAACTTTCTGAGAATCCTGGGGTGAGCCTTGGACTTTGCTTCCTCCAGAATGATCTGGGGGTGACATCCCACCAAGATGATGATATCCTCTGACTCTGACTTTCCTCACTCAGGAAGATGGTAGGGATCAGAGTGACCCCTACTCCTCACGCCCTGCCCCCCCCCCTTTTAGGAGTTAGCTAATTGACCTTTCACCCTTCCTGCCTGCACTGAAATTTGAAAAGTCAGCTCCATGTGAAGTTACTGAAATGGTTAACCTAGCTAATGAGTTGTTGTGTTGTGTCCCTCACAAAGACTTTCCCTCCCTCCCTCCCTTCCTTCCTTCCTTCCTTCCTTCCTTCCTTCCTTCCTTCCTTCCTTCCTTCCTTTATTTTTTTCCCCAAATAGGATTTCTTGTAGTCCTGGTTGTCCTAGAACTTTCCATGTAGACTAGACTGTCTCTGAACTAAAAAAAATCCACCTGCCTCTGTCTTTCAAGTGCTGGGATTAAAGGTGTGCACCATCCCCCCACCCCATGACTTCTTATTTTGACTCTTTTTTTTTTATGAATGTTTAATATTTTTTTTAATCTTATGTGTATGAGTGTTTTGCCTGCACTGCATGTCTGAGCACCGTGTGCCTGCCTGATGCCCAGAGAGGCCAGAAGAGGATGTCGGATCCCCCTACACATCAAGAGTAACAGATGACCGTGAGCTGCCATGTAGGGTTGGGAATTGAACCTGGGTCCTCTGGAAAAACAAGTGCTCTTAACCACTGAGTCATCTCTCCAGTCCCTCAGCTCAGTTCCAAGGTCAGCTCTCTCACTGGTTCCATGGATAAACTTGGAATTTCCCACATTGCTATCTCGTGCAGGCTTCTCTTGAATGATGGTTGTTGTTTCATAACCGGAAGGAAAACATCTGCCTTCTAGGAATCCCCAGGCTTCCGCCAAGTGACTGGAATTTTCCAGTCTCCCGATGTAGACCCTCTTCAGTTAGCTAGAGGCATCCAGACCCTGAGCTGGGAGGTACCACTTTCCCTCATATACAAGGAGGGACAGCTCCCAAGCCCATACCTGCAGCAAATCAGCCAAGGAAAGGCCATGGACATCGTCAGAGAAGGCTTCCACAGTGAGTGCAAGCTTAGAGATGCTCTGGGGGGGAGAGTTGTGTGGAATCACGCTGTGGTCCTGAGGTACTACAGTTGTTGACCACCAGCATCTGCACTGAGGAGACTCCCACCTGGGAATGGCCATAGGACCCCCACCTTAAACAGGAAGTAGGGGCCCTGGGACAAGTTTTGATTTGAGTTCTAGGACAGGAAGTTCCCAGATCCTTTTTTTCTGCTCTTCTGCTGCGGAATAATTTGGCCCTCAGTTATCTAGTTCTGTCTCCCCTCGGTACTGAGCTCTTTCCTGTTAAACCAGAATAGAGAACAGGAAACTTCTGTGGCATAAAATGTACTGGGGGGGGGGTGGCCTTATGCATGCGCAGAGTTGCACAAGCACACTTCTGAAGCCTTCCTTCTGGTTTTTCTCTCATTACACTGGGCATCAAGGGAAGTTGGGACGTAGCTGTCAACTGTCAACACCTATTAGATCCCTCCTGGATGGTTATGCCTCCTGCTGGGCCATTCTACTCTGCCACAGTCATGGGCAGAAGACAAGTGGGTCCTGGGCCCACCACTGTGTAAGGGGTTCTCACTTTGCACCAAGCATCCCCACCCCCTCCTGTTAAGAGCTGGCCTGCTCCCTGGATGAATCTACTGCAGCACTTCCGGCACTGGCACCAAGGCCAGACCCTGTAGCTACCTTAGGAATTCTGGATTAAAGCCACTGTAGTAGCTGACAAGGAAAGGAATTGAAGGGGGTAGGGTGGGTGGCAAGTTCCACAGACACAGTGGGAAAGACTGGGTAGACTCTTGAGGGACTGACCTTGGGAACTACAAGTAAGTACTCTTTTGAAGGCACCACTGAGATGAAGAACCAGACATCTTGAAGCAGCATCTTGATGTCCCGGGGACTCCAAGAGACTTGCAAACTTGAGGTGCAAGTGTGGATGTGGCTGCTATCACACCTGGGTCTCATCTGTGGTAAGATGAGCTAGGGGAGGACGAGAGGCCCTCTGCACAAGTATGGTTCTGCACAGCCAAGGTTAGGGGTACCCAGGGTGTCCAGACTCCCCAGAAGCTGGCAGGACTTCTTTTGGGTTTTCTGCCTGCTGCTCACCAAAGCAAGTAACAAGGGCATTGTGTGGCCCTCATCCCAAACCGCTCACCCCAGGATCGGAAGCAAACACTAGAAGTGGAAGGTTAGAGAGACAAAAAGAGATGACAAGCTTCCATCACAGAACCCAGTGCGTTGTGTCTGGACTCAGGCCAGGATCCCAGAGCCCCAACTCAGAGGTCCTCACTGAGCCCCGGGATGTGATTTGTCTGGATAGAAGATGTACCAGAACCTTAAAGGGTAAGACATCAGTGGCCTGAACACTTCTCGGGTCATTGTTCTGATCATTTCTGGGCACTTTGGGGACAAGAAGCCAGAAGGAGGCAAAGTTCATACCCTGTTCCCCACCCCCATACACACACCTCACACAAAGAACTCTGGTTAACTACTGCCCAGTGCAAGTGGCCAGAAACCTGCCAATTTGAGGACACCCTGCTGCCCTCAGACTGGGAGGATGTAGGACGAACTCAATACAGGACTAGTCCAGGGACAGAAAGTCACAGCACGTGCTCTTTATTGAATCCACTGTGGACAGATACGTGAGTGTAACATTTGCATATGTATGGGGTAAATGGTCAGGACCAAGACTAGGCTTCCGGACAGCTATAGACAGTGGAACACATATAAGCCTAGAAGGCCCCAGAATCTGTTATCTACTGTGAGATGCTGCAAGATGGCTATTTTTTAGTGGCGTAGATAATGATGAAGATGGTGGCCATAAGGACACTGAAGACCAGGGCACTGATGTTCAGGCACTTGGCGGTGGAGGCAAAGGCCTGGGCCCCGGTCACATCACCCACCATCTTCCTGTCCCTAGACTGGAAGAAACCAGATGGTCAGTGGCCCTGGAGCTGGTCAACAGAAAGCCGAGTTCTGACTGGGTTTCCCCATCATCTTCCCATCCCACTGCATCCCACTTTCCCACATTCACAACTATCCAGAAACACCAGCACTAGCCTCTTACTCTACTGTTTCCTGATAGTTCCTAGTGAACTTCCCACCCAGCCCTGAGTCCTAATCTTCAGGGTTAAGGAACATTCCAGGAATCAGGAAGTAAGGAGACTTCCTTCAAACTCTAGGCTATGATGGAGATAGCCTGACCCAGGGATCCCCAGGCACCTCCCAGGATTCCCTCAACACACACACACATACACAAAAAATGATGCATATATACTCAACTCACATATAGGTAGAGGCTCCCCCACCCACACCATCCTCCGCCATACACACACACCCCAGGTGCCATCTAGATAAGTCAAGGTTGAGGCCCACACAATACCTTCACAGAGTAGGCATACGCAATGAAACCCAGGCAGCAGAAGTTCATGAAGAGTGTATTGAACAGGGACCAGACCACATGGTCAGGTGTGGAGATCTCAGCAGGCATGTTGATTGTGGTTGTTGTCGCGGAAGTTGAGATGTGGGGTCCCCCCAGTACAACCACCTCTTGCTGCTCCTTTGGCATCTCTGGGCTTTGGAGGCTGGAAGAGTTGTGAATAAGGAAGGAATGAGAAACGTGGTTCAAGCAGAGAAGTCTGGAGCCTGGTGTGCAGTGGGCCCGCCTTTTCCCCAGCAGGGTCTGTTTCTCGGAAACCTACTTCCTTATGTTTATAATTTGTTGTGCTTTTTAGGGGCTGCAGGGTGAGAGCAAATAATGGTTTCAAGTTACCATTGGGGTGTGTGCAGCGAGAGCCACTCCTACCCCTTTTCAAGCTGTCCTAATCTCCAGAGGCTGGAGATTGAAGAGCTGAGCAACAGCTCACTCCTCCACTGGGAAGAAGAAATGACAGCAGTAATCCCAAGGGCATAGGTTACAGTAAGTAGAAGAGAACAACACGGTCTCTCTGTAGTTTGCTTTGAGGAGGGATGACTTTTTGTACATTCTTTTTAACCTCATTCCTTTTGTTGTGACTGATAACAGGAGCACACAACTTGTCATAGATTCTAACATCTACCTTCTGTACACATGGGGCTGAGAGCTCAGGATTCTATATGTCTAATTAATCAGCTTTTGCTTTTGTAAGATACTCATTCTAGAAGCTGAAGTTGAAAGAAAAACAAAGGCTTATAAGATGGAAATTCCCCAGAGATAACTATACCCCAAATCCTGACCCAAACTGCTGTGTGTTCTAAAAAGGGGATTTATTAGAATGACTTACAGGTGTGGTCCGAGGAGTGCTACAACAACTGTCTCCTGAAGGAAAGGCTGAGGATCCTGGCGTTGTCCACAAGACTAAAGTCAGTTGTCTCAATTTGGTGCTAGAGTCCCAGGAAGGTTCTAGAGAGGTTGGGACCCTGAAGAAGTAGGTTCTAATATCTTCAGAACAGGAGAGAGAAACTGGCCAGTGAGAGTGAGGGTAAGCAGGCAAACAGCAAAAACTTCCTTCTTCCATATCCTTTTATGTGGGGTGCCACCAGAAGGTGTGGCCTAGATTTAGGGTGGGTCTTCTGAACTCTTAATAATCCAGCCAGCAAAACAAAACAAAACAAAACCCCCTCCCTCCGTGGTGTGCCCAGCTGCTATGTTATCGTTGATTCTAGATGAAGTCAGGTTTGATAAACAGCTTTAGCCATCACAGCATATACTGAATATAGTGGCATTATCAAGACTGCCTCATTGTCAGAAGTCCTCACTGTGTGCTAAATGTCATCCCTTTGCCTCCTTAATGCACTTAAAAGCAGGAAGTCACAGAGCCATGCCTCTCCTCCATCCTTCCAAACCTCTTTCCTTTTTCCTCTGAAGTAAAAGCCCCCAATAAAACCGTTGTCTGGGAATTTGCTTCTGTCTCACTTCTACCTCCAGGAGATCTGAGGATCCTGGGCTTTGCAGCAATCTGGTTTAAACTTCTCCAAGCCATTAGCACTTAGTTTCACTCACAGTTGGCATTTCAGAGGAAAGAGATGACCAGAGAAGATTTAATATCATCTTCTGGGAAGTCATACCTACATAAAAGCTACAAAGTAGACCAGCAGATGTCTAGGAGAAGCCACTTAAAACCTTTAGGTAATGAAACATGCCGTGGAGGACAGCAGAGTGGCCAGGCCAGAGAAGGGCGAGGCTGCAGGAGGCAGAGCAGCAGGCAGAACTCTCAGGAGTTGCCTTGTACCTCCCAGGCAACGCCACCACCTCTGTTTGGGTTCTATCGTGTATCAAGAATGAGGAGCCAAAGGCACAGGGATAAAGGTATTTACCAGATTAGAATCTAGATAAAACGATTTAATAGAGAGAAGATGCTGGAGCTGGAGAGGAGGCACCCATGGCACCCATGTCAGGCAACTCAGAACAATCTGTATGTCCAACTCCAGAGGGTCTGATGCCCTCTTCTGACCTCCTTGAGTACTGCACTCACATGTACACTCCCCCACCCCTCACAAACACACATATACACATGATTAAAAATAAAAATAAAGTCCTTAAGTCTGGAGAGATGTTCAGGGTTTGAGTACTGGCTGCTCTTCCAGAGGATCTGATTTGAAGTCCCAGGCTTCTTATACACGTGGCTGCTGTTCGTAGTTTCAATTCTACGATATCTAACCTCTTTCTCGCCTCTGTGTGCACCAGGTATAAGTGTGTTACACAGGTCATGTGCAGGCAAGGCACTCATTTTCATAAAATAAAAAAAAAAGTTTAAAAATTAAAAAAATTAAAATCTTTAAAAATAAGTAATGTTTTAAAGAAAGAAAATATACTGCAAAAATATTGCAAAGACATTTACAGCAGGTAAATTCTCATAGGCTTACCCCCAAAAGACAATGGGAATACTTTCCTAGCTTTCCTAACAGTTGATGAAGCGATGTCAGGTTGGCAATGGTAGTTCAGACAGTTGATCCATAGACACTGTGAGGACTCCTGTCACTCTTCCTTTTTGCTTCCACATCAGCTTCTATGCTCCGGCATTCATTGCTGCTCTTCAGAGGAAGAGGAACAGAGCATGTGACTGCTGACACTTACCCTGGCATGTCCCCCTCATTCCCATCAGATCTCCTGATCTGAGAGAACTATGGGTAACCAAGCTTTTACTTTCTCCCTCACAATTGATATGAGATAACTTGAATTTCTGGATACCCTTTAGAGGAATGATGCCCAACAGGAGACACCCCAGTCTAAGGCACTTTACAGCCAAGTCAATGACTAAGACCGTAATCACCACTGAAAGCACCAGGGGGTGGTACCCATTGCCTTCTACAGATGCCTCATAGGTGAACATAGATGGATCCTACTCTGTTTCCTCAACTCACCTCTGAGATGCAATAACTGATTATCTAAATCTGATCTTCAGATCTTCACCTGTGACAGGGATGCTATTTATAGCTTATTGGGTGTTTTTTTTTTAAAAAAACAAAACAAAATCTCAATTGTTCAATTTTACCCAAAAGACTCAGAAGCCAGATGCTGGGGTGAAAGCCTGCTAGCTCAGAGAGCACCCCCCACCTTCTTCCTCAGCCAATGTCCCAAAAAGGCCTGCTTCTTCCCTACATCTCAACAACAACATCAACCCCCACCCCAACCCTCAAACTGAGTGTCCCTCCCTTCGACTTCCTATGCGTCTCTCTATCTGTCCTCTTGACTTTCTGTCAGTTTGTCTTTTTCCTCCTATGTTCACACCGCGTCAACTGGTTGCTTGCTCTTCCTATTGGCGCATGGTTGACTTCATTCAATCCTGTTTTTAATATTCAAGCAGAAAGCTATTGGATTAAAGGTGTGTATGAGGGCTGAGTCACACCACTAACTTGAAACAGAGTTTTCCAGGAAACAACACAATCTCGGGGATCACAGTGTGAACAAACATCCTGCAACAGCTGGGATCTCTGACACTCGTTCATCCGTCTCACACGGGCCCGATATGAACACCATGAAGACTCTTCCTTTGGACACCTTCCAGCTGTCTACTGCCGACCATCCCTCTGCCTGGCAACCCTGCTTCTTCTGCTTCATCTTGATTTTTCCCTTTTCCGGTTCTCCCTCCCTCCCACCTGCAGAACTCTTTCCAGCTGCTCCCTCTCTTTGTCCACATACGTATACTCTCTCTCACATACTTGTTTGGGATGTTCATATTAGGTAACTCCAGGAACAATAAAAGCATCCCCCCCCCCTTCTCTCCGAAGACATACTTTCTCTTCCTGAGGTGGCAATGAAGACCTTATTGCCACCCAGTTTGTGACTTTTTTTTTTTATACTTCTCCTATCCGAATACAGGCTTCAGCCTGCCATCACTGGTTCCAGTTGCAAGTGTCCTGCTCACATTGTCCTGTTCATGAACACTATATATTTCTCTTTTCTTCCCATTTGGCCTTCTAGGCAAAAGCTGTTTGTTGTACCCCAGTTCTTCAGAGGAACAGATGTCTTTTGTAGTCTAAGCTATAATTACCAAGTTAACATATAAAATTTTTTTTGGCATTCTGTATTTTCTGTCCCCCCTTTATCACTAAGTTCTAAGTTCACCATTTGAGGTCACTGGAAACTTAACTATCTTGGCCATCTCTTGCTGGAGTGTAACAGACCAAAAGAGGAAAAAAAAATCCAAGCAACCAATAATGCCTGCCTAGAACCTCTGACAGGTAAGAACTTAATAGTTTTAACTACATGTGGACAGGTAATTAGGTTATTACATTGTTATGAAGCTTAAGACTACAGGGAAAAGATCCTTAGACTCAATTCAGATTATAATTAGCCAAATTCATTAATGTTGCTGGCAGGGTCAAAGCCCCCAGCAAACTGGAGATGTGCTGCCTGGAGGCTGTTGAGAGAAGGGCTTTTACAGGCAAAACCCCCCAAGAAGTCCTTGGGTATTTGCACAAACAGGTTACAGAAACCAAAGAGCTGTTCCACCTCTGCCAAGATTAGGCAGTAAAAGTGATCTTCTAATCGTCCTTGAACATCTGCATCCGCCTAAGTGGGTTACGAAAGCCTAAATCAGTCATTAGTCACAGCTTATAACAATGCACATGGTCATGGTGGCACTGTTCTGGTTGGGGATCAAGGAATCAGGGTTGCTGGGAACTTATTTACCAGAAACTGAGTCAGAGACAAGTGGTTATTAGGTATGAAACTGGGCATCTAGCACAAAAAGACTTCCTCCAACAACACACTGTGTTGTGAATGCAACTTAGATTCAACTCTTTCAGTAAATTGTAAATTTGCTTGTTGCTCTGTCTCATGATAAGATGAATTTTTACATGGTAAAATATGAGTTTGTCCTAAGGCAAAATAACCAGATTTTTTTTTTCTTTCCAAAATGGGAAAAGTAAAGGCAGAAAGCAGGCAAGGACAAAACTTGAAAACTGAAATATGCTGCAAAAAGTCTGTAAACGATGAAATATATGTATATGTATATGTATATGTATATGTATATGTATATGTATATGTGTGTGTGTGTGTGTGTATGTATGTATGTATGATGTTCACAATTCCCAAGACTAAAATTCAGTGCACTGATCTAAAACAAACTGTTCTCCATTTAAAATAATTGGGGTTCTTGAAAATATTGATTTGTTCTTGGTGACATAATAAATTGTGTTTTCTGCTGAGCCTGTCAGAAGTTGAAGGACACATGAAATTGAATATCATCAAACCAGAACTTATTTAAAAAGTTGTGTCACGCCGGGCGGTGGTGGCGCATGCCTTTAATCCCAGCACTTGGGAGGCAGAGGCAGGCGGATTTCTGAGTTCGAGGCCAGCCTGGTCTACAGAGTGAGTTCCAGGACAACCAGGACTATACAGGAGAAACCCTGTCTCGAAAAACCAAAAAAAAAAAAAAAAAAAAAAAGAAAGAAAGAAAAGAAAAGAAAAGAAAAAAAAGAAAAAGAAAAAAGTTGCGTTATTATCTAAGCTTTGCCTGTTACATGGAAGTTAAAACTAAAATTTATTACTTCCTCCTTATGACTGTTAAAAACCACCCTTCTGAGTGTTCAACCAACAAAACATATAGGCGAAAACCAATGAGGATATAGGAACAAAATGGACCACCAAAGGTCAACCAGGACCAAGGGGACAATAGAACCCCTGTAAAGGGGCCCTACAGCTCTGGTAAGTCACCTGTGGTCTCATTCAGAAAGGACATGGGAGCCCCAGGGGATTGTACTTTAACTCATGTACCTGCTGTGAAGTCATTGGAGGGGAAAAGGTCTTCTTTGTATCTGAGGAAACTCACACAGTCAGCAAGACCCAGGACCACAGAGGGCACACTGGGAGAGGGGCAATGAAGGTTGAAAGGGGACCCTCCTAAGTCCCTAGCATAACTCCACAGAGTCTCAACTGACAACAGCACAAGGTGCATTTTTGGCCCCTCATTTTGACTTTATTTATTTAGACTTTTTCTTTTGGAGACAGGGTCTCTCTATGTCAGTGGTTCTCAGCTTATGGGA